AAGTGATATAACTGTTAATAATGGAAAGTCAACACATAAGTCCCATATCAAAGAGATACAGGGCTTTCTTAACCGTCATGATGTGTATCGCATACTTTCTTTATGTAAGTCCAGTATTTATTGTATAATTAATAATTATTATATAAAATAAAATTTTAAAAATGGTTAAAATTCATAAATATAAATGTTAATGATTATTTGATTGGTAAACAGGCATTTAACAACTATCAAACCGGTCAATCAATTTCGGATTTCCAAAAGATATATGACGCCCCGTTTGAGCGCATTTCATACGCTAATACTGTCCGCTCATTTGCCTACGCTATCGGAGCCCTAAGTACTTATAATAGTTATTTATAATCTATTAATTACAGACACAAAACTTTAATGAAATGAACAAATATATAAAACTCTAAATACTAATCAAAAGTACACACTTATAGATGGTTTCTTAATAAACATGGCAAACAAGCAGATAATAATAATGGTGTACTTTGTGGTGGTTGGGTTGACACAGATGTTGGTCACATACCTGAAGTATGTGCCCGTACTATACCTGGACTACGCTATCAACGGTTTCGTGTCGGGAGCCCTCGAACTCATCACAAACGTGTGGACGATAGAGATGTGGGCCGAGGAGTGCGGTCCGTACGTACAGGCGGTACACTTCGGGGGCAGTGTGTCGGCCATTATAACGCCGCAGATATTCGCCCCGTTTATCACTGGCCCCGGATCTACACACGAGTCGCGCATTAATATCCCGTACCTGGCGTTGGGCGCGGCGTCCATAGCGTTTGGCCTATTCATGGGCCTTACCTACTTTTTCCAGAAGTATGTGCCCCGCAAAGTGCACAGCAACTTCCGGGTGGACGTAACTGAGGGCAAGTATACGCAAAAGTTTCGCGAATGGAATTCCGTGTTTGTGGCCGAACTCTGGCCATCGCTGCCCAAACACTTCATAATCGTTTTGTGCGGTTTTATGGTCTCCATTGCGCTCACCATTCAATGGTCACAATTCACGTACATTGTGTCGTACGCCGAGAAGTCGAGTCTACAGCTGAGTACAGTGACAGCCGGTTATATGAACACCGCGATCGCCGCGTCACTACTGGCCAGTCGGGCCTTTATGATAGGATTTGCCAAACTATCGTTTGTCACTCCTAAACGGATCAACTTTGTCTGCTATGTCCTACTATTGGCGGCTGAAATATTGTATCTCATTTTTACCGACATTAATGTAATTGGGGTTTGGGTCGCGGACTGCATATACGGCATCGGTTTGGGACCCGTAATGGCCGGCGCTTTTCAATTAGCCGAAGAGTGCTGTCCACTCACAGATCTAATGGGCGTATTGTTTATATTTATGGGCGGATTGACCACTTCGTTCACACCCCTAATCCTGGCCTCAACGATGGACGTCAACCCACAGACACTAAACTATGTCAATATATTCTTCATCGGTTCGGCTATTATTCTAGTTTTGGTCATTTATGGCGTCGGCAGAAGATTTGTGAGACCTAAAGAGGTCGACAAAACCGATGTCAACCGCAATAGTATTGTTCTCGAAGTGATTACATCCACTGCCGGCAGCAGATTATGAGCACAGTTTTATAAATACTCTTAAACAGCTGATTTGCGAATACCTTCAATCGTTAATAACTGTTTTTTACTCATAATTATTTTAAACCTTTATAATAGTACAATATTAAATTGTATTATTGTTAAATGTAGAAATTAACTAGCCCCTTAGTTTAGAAATTGAAATAACAAACTAACTATTTGTTATATGGCTGATTTCCCATACCCTCAAAATAGTTTTTTTTTGTAAATACTAGTTTCATTGCGATTGTTCATAAATTATTCAAATTTTGAGGTTTAAGTGTATTTAATTATTGTGTATATATTGTGTAATATAACAATTAAATTGTACATTTGGTACAATGTGGTTGTAAATTATATAAATCTAATTATAATATTCACACTAACAAGATTATACTTGATTACAGATACAACACAAACACTATAAAGTCTTATAAACACATTTAAATATACATGTATAATTTATATTAATATTCAGGTAAACAATATAATTTAATCTTACATCTCATATGATTGTCATCCTATTTGTTAATTTTCATATAAAAACCTTTATTGAATTGATGTGTTATTTTTGTAATATTAGTTATAAAAAATAAATTTATTTCGCAATTAAAAAATAATGTTAATTATTAATACTATAACTACTATATAATAGTATGCGAATTAAAATGAAATAGCAGATTATAGATAAGAATCAATAAATTGATAAATTTATTATATAATTAAAGATAATAATCTCAGATAAGTTAACATTTGTACAAAATATGATATATTATCACGATGGCTAAACAAATTAGTGCACCTTTATCAAATAAATAGCGTTTAGACATGTAAAAAAGTAATGTAACAGAATTATTATATTTATAAAACTAAATAAACAATCAGAGAAATATGTGTTTAAACTTAAAAACATTTTACTAATTTACAGTTTGAATGTTTTAAAGTGATCTTTTAAAAAGATTATGTATTATAACATTTAGAATATTTATATAATCAGGTATTTGAAAAAATAATTTTTTTGAATTTGTAGATTATTATTGTACAATAGTTGTAATATTCTTTAGTACAGTAATTTAAAATCCAATTTATCAATAGTATCTAGATTAATAAGTACCATCAGTTACTTAAATAGTTTTGTTGTTTTGATTTATGTTTTGTCATTTGATTTTGTCTCAATTCTTGTTGAACAAGAGAATAGACTATTATTTTAAATATTGTCCAATGATTTATCAAATCAATAGTGGAATTAAATATAAAATCAATTTAAAAGCATATTTCTTACATAAATCTCAATGATATGACAGTAATTTCAATGTTATTTTGCATTTTAATTCTTAAATAAATAAAACTTAAGTTTTTAATATATAAAATTGTTCATGTTCACTCAAGAAGTAATAAGCACTTAGTTACACGTCAACTTAACTGTCCATGTTAAAACAATTTTAAGTCAAACTTAATATTTTACTATAAATTTAACTTGTGATCTATATAAAACATATAAATCACCAAGATGATGGACATCACTGGACAAAATAGTGTCAATATATCAAAATGTTATAAAACTGTGTTGACTATACTATTAAGTTTGGCTTACTTTATGTTTGTAAGTAATTTATTTATTAGTTAAAAATTTAAATTGTTAAATATATGACATTTTATCATTTATATTACAGTCATTTAATACATATACTACCGGTCAGTCACTACTGGATTTACAGCAAATTTATAAAACTACTTATACCAGTATATCTAATGTCAATACAATCCGAGCCTTTTCTTACGCTATAGGATGCATAAGTATTGAATAAAAAATATTTAAAATAATTTTTATATATTTATTATTAAAATTTTATACATGTTTATTAAATTGTCTCAGACGGACTCATATTTGAAGGAATCAATCGACAAATAGGACTAATGTGTTATCTAGTAATAATAGCCGTTTGTATGGGTGTCACCACATCTCTCGAAGTAATTCAACTTTTATATCTGGATTTTGCTATCAATGGCTTCATTTCAGGCGGTATTGAATTATGTATTAATATATGGATAGCGGAGTTGTGGGGCAAACGGTGTGGCCCTTACCTACAACTCGCCCATTGTATGGGCGGCTTAGCCTCCATTACCACACCACTAATGTTCACACATTATGTTGTTGTAATTGATTACAACAGTTGTCAATCGGGTTCCAGCAGTTTCACTGAATTTATGGAAATTCCTGTTCTCAACGTCCCGTACATTATATTGGCTGCCATTACAGCCCTATTGGGTCTAATCATAGGAAGTCTTTATTGGATTAAAAAGTATACACAAAGACATATCGAAAACAATGACAATAATGATGTAGGTGGTAGTAAAATCCAAAAGCTATTCAAGCATGCCCAATCCAAAGTGACCGCAGAATTAATACCGACAAAAGCCATCTTTGTAAATGTTGTATTGGGTGCTTATATGGTAGCCGTAGCGCAGGCCATACAGTGGTCGCAATTCAACTATATCACTTCGTTTGTGCAGTTCACTTCACCCGATTTAATTAAGACCACACTCATCAGCGAAGTGTTGGCCGCGTCCTTTCTGGTCAGCCGTGTGTTATGCATACCACTGGCCAACTATATCAGCGCTAAATATATTCTAGCCTCGGGTCTCATTATTTTAATGGTTTCTGAAATACTATTTCTTACATTACTCACCAAAACAGGACTTCTGGTGGCAAACATCATATACGGCGTCGGTTTGGGTCCACTGATGGCCGCCTCCTATCAGTTGGTCGAAGAGGTCACTCCAATCACTAATCTCATGGGTTTGCTATTTATATGGTTAAGTGGTTTCACATCCGCTATAATACCGCTTGTTATGGACAAATTCATGTGTCGTAATCCCTATTCACTTATTTATTGTAATCTATTTTTCACAATTTGCGGTCTTATTATTGTTTTAATTGTTCATTTAATTCGTGTAAAGTATATGAGAAATGAGATTTCAGGCAAAATCAATGACACTTCAAATTCTGTATTTGATAACAACCACCGGACAACTTCTCGTTTATGATACTGTATCCGTTTTTATTGTACATTTTATTGTAAATGTAGTCTATTATCCATGTTCAATTTATCAATGAAAATAGTTGTATTACATATTTATTAAAATTATAACATATGATAGTATAATTGATGTTTAAACAGATTTAAATTAAATATTAAAATATTGTGACCATTGATATAATGTCTTAAAATTCTACCAACTCTTGTCTAAACTCTTGTCAATCAATTAAAACGATACTATTTTTAAACAAATTTTGTGATAAATAATATGAATTTTGTGTTTGGCTTTTATTTTATTATACAATTAAAATTGTTGTGCAAATTGTGTATATTTTATTATAAATGTAAATAAACTTGAATAAATTAAATTAATTGGCTTTGTCATAGATACATTATGTCTATGTTGTCAGAATAATAATAAAATGACAGCATTAATAACTTTATGTCAAACACTTAAGTCTTTAGTATTAAAAGACAAACTTAATGTAAGTTTTAGTTTCAATAAATACTAATCGGATATTAAACTAATAATTTAGATAACATTTAATTACATTAAATTTTTAATTGTAGTTTTATCATGATAATCATCATTATAATTATAAACATAAACCATGTTTATATTTTGAAATGATTAAATTTTGTGAGCTACATTCACAAACAACATTGGTAGCAAGATGTCTCAGCAAGATGATGTAAATATATCACCGCGGTACAGACTTGTGTTGACTATTCTGCTAAGTTTTGCCTATTTTGTATATGTAATTCATTTTGTAAGTTAAATCAATCAATAGTTAAATTATATATAACGTATGTAACAGGCATTCAACATCTATACTACCGGTCAGTCACTATTGGATTTACAGCAAATTTACAAAACAAGTTATAGCCGTATATCTAATGTCAATACAATTAAAGCGTTTGCTTACGCTTTTGGATGCATCAGTACATTCATTAAATACATACATACACAAAATTAATTGCTAATTTACCTTTTAATATCTCATTTTTTATTATCAGATGGATTGATATTCGATGGACTCAATCGACAAATTGGTTTAATGTGCTTATTATTAACAATCGCATTGACTCTGGCGTTAACACCATTTCTCAAAGTACTCCAAGTTTTATACCTGGACTTCGCTGTCAATGGCTTTATTGCAGGCGGTATTGAATTGTGTATTAATATATGGACGGCGGAGATGTGGGGCAAACAGTGTGGCGCTTATTTACAACTTGTCCACTGTATCGGCAGCTTTTCATCCATTACAACACCCTTTCTATTTAAACACTTTGTTGTGTCCATTGATTATAACAGTTGCCAATCAGATACCAATCAAATTGATTCTGATTTTCTAGAAGTTCCTATGCTATACGTGCCATACGCTATATTGGCTGCCATTTCAACCCTATTGGGTCTAATCGTGGGAAGTCTTTATTGGATCAAAAAGTATACCCAAAGACACATTGAAAACAATAATAGCAATATGTTTTCAGGCAATAAAATCCAAAAACTATTTAACCATGCCAAAACAAAAGTTACAACAGAATTAATAACGACAAAACCCATCTGTGTAATTATTGTATTAAGCGGCTATTTGGTGTCAATAGCGATGGCCATACAGTGGGCACAATTCAACTATATTATCTCATTTGTGAAATTTACATTAGGTTTAAATACTGGCTCACTAATGACCGAGGTGTTGGCCGCAGCCTTTATTATTAGCCGCATAATAAGCACACCACTGGCCAACTATGTCAGCGCCAAATACATTATAGCCGGCGGTCTTCTTATTGTATTGGTATCTGAAATACTATTTCTTACATTAATTACAGAGACCGGCATTTTGGTGGCCAATATAGTGTTTGGCTTAGGTTTGGGTCCACTCACCGCCGCCTCCTATCAGATCGTCGAAGAGGTCACTCCACTTACAAATCTAATGGGTTTACTATTCATATG